GACGCGTCGATCGAAATTAAGCACAAGATGCGAGCAAACGCAAACGTCTCGATAAACCGGAGAGAATCGATAATATTGTATCGTGGAGAGTTCGACGGCCCCTCCCATACAGAACACGATAAACGATGATCAAAGAGAATTTTGCCGCAAAGTCCAGGGACGAACACAGAGGAGAGTTGGTTAACGAACTTCTCTCGGACGAGTCAGAGTCAGAGTCAGAGCCAGAGCCAAAGCCAAAGCCCGAACGCGAGTCGTCGCGTTCCACTGGCATTGGACTGACTCGAGTATCGTGTTGTTCCTTTTCTTTCACCGCCTCCTTCTCTTTCCGATCCTCTCTCCCTCCGCTGACCGGTGGTCGGCCTGACTTGAACCGAACCGATCGCGAACGCCAGACCTTGGGCTCTCTCACCTATCGCGTTGTAGCGTGTCCACCCATTCGATTATCCCCAAGTGCTTAGCGCCTCGCGTCCTCTGCTCTACTCTACTACTGCTCGCGTCGAATGTTTCTCTTCGATGACAATGATCGACTCGATAACGACGGTTGGATTATTTTAGCGAATCGCATTAAACTAAACTTTTTCTCATTGTCAGGAAGAAAAACTGGTCCGCGAGTTCGAGCGAAACGCCACCACCACCTATATAGGAAACTAAACTACAAGAACCAAAAATTCTAGTTGGCCGATTAAACTCGAGTTCTAAAAGTGCGATTGTCTTGAAATTCTGCACGAGAAAATATACATAGCTATATTTCGCGTATCCCGCCTTCGCGTTCAGCAAACTGGTGTTATTTCGGTACGCCGCGGCGTCGGTTAAAGCGTGCTCGGCCATTTCACGCGTACAATTTTTACAGGTCGACGGTGTCGCAACTTTCGAGCCTGGTCAACATTTCGTACGAGTTCTTCGTTTTTCCCTTTGCTCCTGATTTTCGATGCAGACGCGTTCCGATCGAAACGCCCGGAGCACACTCGCGAGAAGCGATCGCTTCATCCTGAATTCGATAGATTCGAACGCGAGAACCGACGATACATGGAAATACAATATTTCTCCTAATTACAGAAGGTTCGTTCTCGTTCTATTTTCATGCGTGCCACTGCTCTCTGCCTCCTGTTTTACCTTCATTTTAGAATCGGATAAACGGTCGACGGCACGATTGTGTTACTATGCCAGACTCGAGAATAGCATCGGTCAGATGAAATACCGGAATACCAGACGTTGATCGAATATTCCATGTCTGCGAGTCCCAACCATATTTCTACTTTGGCAATGGCGCATTCCAACGGAACGATCTTCTTCCAGTCTCCATAGTCTACCCTTTATCTTCTTCTCTCGAACACCGCTGCTTCCTCTCCGACTCGCGGAGACTTCCAGTCTGACTTTTCACGCGTAATCGCGTAACGTGCATCGGATTACGCGTGCAAAGACGGATGAACCGGAAGCGACGGTGACATTCCAGTTGGAGAATCATTCGTTTCAATCGCGACGTTCCAGAATGTTCGAATCGAAACAGGAATCGTTCATGAATCTCAGTTACGATTGGCAACGCGATTGCTTCGACTGGAACAGGCTCTCTCTGGATAACAAAGAACAAACATCGCGTACAATTGGTTTGTTTGCTCGTGTGCGGCGAAATGATAGAAATTACTAAACTAAACAAATTTCCGTCGAGTATCTTCGCCTGGTCCAGGTTTCCTAGGTTCGACTCCGGACTGCTCGCGGACTTTACCGGGAACATCGCACGGTATCTGTACATCGAGGAAAATCGGAATAACGAGAAAGGTGTAGAAAGACGAGTAGTTCTGTATCCGTTGATAGAAGCTGCACATATAATAACTCGACACTTTTTTCAGAATAAAACAACGCAATGACCAACTAGCGCGTACATGTACTATAGTAACCACATTCGAAACGGTTAATCCACGTTCGATGCGCGCGGCTCGAATACTCGTAGGAGGTCGCTACATTCGTCGACCTTGCTTTGACTTTGTCGACTCAAAGTGTTCCGGTGATAAAACGTCCCGAAAGGTAGTCGAGACTTTTGTCGCAACTTGTGCTACCGAACGGAGGTTATCCAACTTTCGATACATCGTCGAAACATTGAACGTTCAAGCGAGAATTATTTCAAAGCCAATTTCACATTTCACTCGCAAAGTTATGGCATTGAATAAGCTCAGCATCGACAAAGTGGATCTGACGGGCAAACGGATTCTGATACGGTACACGTCTATTCTTTAATCGTACTTTCCTCAATTTCGTTTCAACCACTCTTTGAACTCTGCGTTCAAACAACCACAAATCTTCGCACGAAACCTCGCATTTCGAGACGTAACCTCGATGCGTCAACCGAGTTACACCGAAAACTATCGGAAGCCGGTCAAACAATTTTTCATTATTCTACAAAGACGATAGTATTTGTTTTACCGATTGTTTTACAAATTTACTCGGTCACGTTACAGGGTAGACTTCAATGTGCCGTTAAAGGATGGTAAAATAACTAATAACCAACGAATCGTAGCCGCGTTGGATACCGTTAAATACGCCCTCGAGAAAAATGCAAAGTCCGTTGTATTAATGTCACATTTGGGACGTCCGGACGGTAAACCGGATATGAAATACACTTTAAAACCAGTCGCCGAAGAATTAAAGTCGTTACTTGGAAAAGAGGTTTTGTTTCTGAACGATTGCATCGGATCGGAGGTGGAAGCTGCTTGCGCCAACCCTGCGCCTGGAACCATCATCTTGCTAGAAAATTTAAGGTTCCACGTAGAAGAGGAAGGGAAAGGAGTGGGACCCGATGGAAGTAAAGTACGAGCTTTCCACTACCTTCTTCCTTTCTTTCGTCCATTCGATCGTACTCTATTCGATAGTACTCTTTTTCTTGCAGATTAAAGCGGATAAAGAAAAAGTCTTGGAATTTAGAAAGTCCTTAAGAAAACTTGGAGACATTTATGTCAACGATGCGTTCGGTACTGCGCATCGAGCTCACAGTTCGATGATGGGAGAGGGATATGAAACGAGAGCTAGTGGTTTTCTTTTGAAGAAAGAATTGGACTACTTCGCTAAAGCGTTAGATAATCCTGAAAGGCCATTTTTGGCTATACTAGGAGGCGCGAAAGTTGCTGATAAAATACAATTGATAAATAATATGCTAGATAAAGTTAATGAAATGATTATTGGAGGTGGAATGGCGTATACTTTCTTAAAAGTATCAAAAAATATGAAGGTGAATGTCATACAACAATATTTTTTCCCTTTCTTTTCCTGATATTCAATAATCGAATCAACTACGCATTGATTTGTGCGTCAATTTAAACGTCAACTTCAGCGTATAATATTTTTCAAGTTAGATAGGCAATTCGTTATTCGACGAAGAAGGTGCAAAAATAGTCAACGACCTATTGTCAAAGGCTGAGAAGAACAAAGTTCAAATACATCTGCCAGTCGATTTTATTACTGCGGATAAATTCGCGGAAAATGCTGCTGTCGGCTCAGCGGATTTAGAAAACGGCATACCGGACGGTTGGATGGGTCTCGATGTTGGACCAAAATCACGAGAATTATTTAGCGGTACGTAGTATGGACGCTTATCCTTTTTTCCTTTCAATCTTGTATTTATCTTATAGAATGCAATCTAGTAGCATGAAAAATAAATGCCCGAGTGTATACTGATGTACAATACAATTCGCAGAACCGATTAAAAGAGCGAAAACTATTGTGTGGAATGGCCCAGCAGGTGTTTTTGAATTTGAACAGTTCAGCAAAGGTACAAAGGGCCTCATGGATGATGTTGTTAATGCTACATCGCGGGGTGCTATTACCATAATTGGAGGTGGTGATACAGCCACGTGTGCTGCTAAATGGAAAACCGAGGATAAAGTAAGCCATGTAAGCACCGGGGGCGGTGCCAGCTTGGAACTCCTCGAAGGAAAAGTCTTACCAGGAGTGGAGGCGCTCTCTCCTCTATAAATTAGCAACATGTGCATTCAAAAGCATCGATTGTCGTTCAAATTTTAAATATGTCTAAGCAATAGTCTTACAACGGCAAGTCTATCGTTGCGGTTCCCATGTAACACAAAGCTGTCTACGAATAGAGAGAAGATGTAAACACCCGTTCAATGATCGAACATCAAATAGAAATATTATATTGATTCCTTGGATCGATAGAATTTAGTTATTGCGGAAATCGTGATGTATTAAAATACCATTTAAAACAATGGAATGTTATTTCCCACAGGTTAAAACATACAATTACAAAATTCGGGTTTAAACGTAATACCACCGTATTAACTTTGTACGTATATCAACATCTATATATATATACATAATATGTATATATATACATGTACAAATTCTAAAACTTACAGACACACGTACACGTGTTTTTATTTATTTACAGACACGATTCCTTCCTGATAATGTCATTATCAAGAATAATAAGCCTATTAAATAGTTTACCACTTATCGACTATACGTACAAATAGAATGTACATGTTTCAAATATTATTAAGTTGTAAGCCCTGCTATATGTTCATTCGATATCTCCATTTTCCTTTCGCGAGAAATAATGATGAAAATTCGTTTACATTAATCGACAATTTTGCGGTGAATCCATGCCACGAAGTAACGCTGGAATGACAGGATCCCCTTCGGCATCAACTTGAAAAGGCATTGTTTGTTCTCCTATAAGCTCTTCGGGTAACTGTCCGTACCCTAGCACTTCTTGCATAAGCGATATTACAGTTTCCAAACGTTTTTTCTTCAGTTCTTCGGTGTCTTCGTCTTTTTCCTTTTCTAGTTCAGTACATACCTACCAAATGCGTAAAATGCACGAATACGATAGTAACGTTATCAGTCTTTTTTACGAAAATGTTTTCGTTGCTCACCTGTTGCATTAATTCCAATTGCTTAGTGAATTTGTGTAGATCATTAGATGACAATGTTGCTTTCTTCCCTTCTAACCACTCGGGATATTTATCGACCAATTCTTTCAATGATGGGTACAGAATTTCCTTCGACAACAAGTGTTGCAGCATTCCTTGCATGATCGGTAGAATAGCACCGGGTCCATCATCCAAAGATGCTTGTCCAAGCATTTCGGACAAGTCAGCTTCATTCTATAGTGTAACGGTTTTATAAGGTACTGTTCTTTGAAATACAATGAATTAAGGTAAAGTGATATTTATATTGCATTATAAATACTTGTAATGATTCGGATGTTGCAGATAGGTCGTTTAATGCTCGAGCAATAGCAGTTTCAAAGTCTGTACCGGTGCTATCTTTGTCGGTGTTACCTTCATCTGATATTACACTTGCAATTGTTTGTGCCATTTTTTGAAAAGAAGCACCCAATTCACCATCCGATCCTAATAAAAAATATTAGACTAACATCTTGTTGAAACATTTCAGAAGCCTTTACCGTTTTTCATTAAATTTTGCAGATTCTTCTCAAACTGATCAGCAGCTTCTTCGATAAAGTCTGCAGTCCAAGCATCTTCTAACGATTCAAAAGAGTTTTTCTCTGTTGTGACTTCTAAAGATTCCTTTTTGTCGTCTGTTTTATCTACATTTTGGTCTTTAGTGAAATCTTTTAAAGCACCTGTAATATTATAAACTAAATGAACACCACAAATATCTGTAGCATTAAACAATGCATAATATGTAATGTTAACAATGTTCTAATTTCGTTTGTTCGTCCAAAAGAATGTTTGTGTGGATTACATAACAAAGAAATTATTTTGTAAATCGTCAACAAACGTTTGCGAGGCAACAAAAAATAATTGATTAATCATTTTTATAATTCCGATAAAGAAATCAAATGAATTGAACTCAAGTTTCACTAAAAATATCAATCAGAGAAAAATATTTGTCCCAACAGGATCATGTTAAGGTTATAAAACTCCTGTAATACATTAATTTAATTATGCTTTACTAAACAGATTAATTACTTACTGTCTAATAGGTCATTTAATTCTTGATCCTCTACTTGATTTTTCAGTTTTTCATCGGCCATGTCTACTGATTTTTGTATTTGATATAAACTTTTAAATCACAGCATGAAGGTACGTGCACCAAAACTGTACACGCTTGTCACCTTACACGTGTATTACAAATACTTTTCAGATTAATTAATACAAATGAATTCGTACATTTTTCTCAAGTTTAACAATTAATGTACGATTAATAATTTTCAATAGTTTTACTTGATACACGTTCGTTCTTATGTAACATCGTTATAAAAAATACATATAGTATCAGTTGCGATGTGACATTTTGAGAAAACTTCTGTTACTATCGTGACAGAAATAGTACATTTAAATTTAAGTAACAATGCTACGGTGAAGTTCACATAACGTATTTCGTAATTTTCACTGTTCCGCATTTACATTTTCAGTACATATGATATTTTTCATGCAAAATTACAATTACAGAGAAACGTATGTATGTTTATTATATTGTATAGAAATAACGCGTAGCGCTGTAACTGCAATAAATGATTTTGTTTATTGTTTTACAAATTAACAGTATTTCAATTGATTTACAGTACAGGTTCTTTAAAAGCAATTTTCTTATACATCAAATCTTGGATTTCATTTACAATAGTGACAATTGTTACTGCGCAAATTAAAATATGCGATACATAATATATAAAATATATTTAAGTTTCTTTATTAACACCAATATCCAGTAATGTACAAACTTAATACACATAAAAAGAAATTTCCAATATCATTGAACACCGATTATCTCTCTTGACTTGTATCATGTTCGGGGAATAATTTGTTTAATAACCGGTAGCACACCTCTACCTGATCCAGATTCTCTTCCTGTTCTAGATCCTTTATAGCACGTTTCAGTGTGGACTGTAAACGAAGTTCTGGACGCCTACATTCATTTAAGGCTGGGAGAAAATCATTTTTGGTCAAACCATCGAGAATATTCAACAACTGGTCCCTAAAATGATAAATACCGTATTGTGATCCATTAAATTATGCAAAGAAAGTGGAGAAAAAATACAATACCTAATTTCTGGAAGTAGTTCACTGGTGGCTAATGACCCAGTTGCTTGTTCTACTAAACCCATATTAATTAGCATAAGTTTCAGATCATTCATATTTTCCTCATTACAAAGAGAACATAGAAGGAAAGTAGATTTAATCTGTAGCTTTTTCACGGAACTTTGCATAGCTCTCAAAAGTACAGAGTATCCATCATTTATATCCATGTATTTCAGGGACAGTGGATGTTCACGAACTATGCCTATATATTTAAAATTCACATTTTTAGCGAGTTCCACGAGGAAACATATGTAGCTCCTATTTAAGTGAACGAGACCTGTACTTACAAGATACAGCATACAAAGCTTTGATCCTGGCAGTTTCCGCAGGATCTGTGTCTACCATATTCAACAATACAGGAAATAAACCAGTTTCTAAAAATTTGTCTTGGCAAAAGGGATTATTCTGAGCTAATTCAGCTATTACATCTGCTGCTCTCCATCTGATGCTGCTATGTGGAGAATTTAAACATGGACCAAAAATTGAGAAACCTCCAATTTTATAGAAATCATTCGCAACATCTATATTATCCACATAATCTGAGATTCTTTCTAAAGCAGCTTCTTGTTGCGAAGTATCATCGTCTGGACGAAGGTCAACAACATTGGATAAAGTTTTAATGCTTTTCTGTAATTCTTCTATAACATTACACGACAAAGAAGAAATTGCCTCTCTTAAAAATTGTTGTCTCTGTAATTACATGTGAATGTAATATATTGAAATTATACGCGCGGTATCTAACAATTTATAAATATTATACCCACTTCTTTGTCCATTGGATTCAATTGAGTACTATTAAGAGAATCTTGAGAATTTGTTGCTTCCATAGCATATCTCAATAAACCCTGCAAATTTCTTGGCTGTCTGGGTTGATTTGACGTTGCCGTTAACATTTGCATATCGGTATTATTTGTGTTTGAAGGGCCTTCAATTGACAGTGGTCTTGCACTGCTACTTGCATGCGATTGAGCCACCAAATTTCCTTGTTTGTTGGAATTTTGAGATCTGAAATAATATTCGGAAACGGATAGCTTTGAATTGACCTTAAATGCAGATAACGATCAAGATCAGTAAATAGATTCCTCATACTTCTCCATTTTTTCTGTAATCTTCGTCGCATGCGATGCACCCATTAATCAAATGTAACGTCCTCAAATGAACGTTCTATTGATATTATTAGAAGGAAAACACATTCTGAGACATAACACGGCTATTTCTTACTAACGCTACTGTCGTTTTTGACGAACTGAAAAATCTTTTTAAACGTAACGATGGAAGTGGCGTACATTCGTTTTTCTAGTGAAAATAACTTGAAGTACCTAGATGTTGGTTAGAAACGACACCGACTTCGTGAAATGCGTTCACATACACAATCAAACAAAAGTAGTGATGCGAAGGTTATACATTTCGTAGATATCCGATATTCGATTAATAAACGAGAAATTTCAGCAAGATAAGTTAAGTTTTAAGAATAGAAAAGATTTTCTGTTTTAACAAACCAAACGATTCGACCACACTGTTCAGCGATTCGATTGGTTCATTAGCCCTCTATGATTATGTACTTACGAAATACAAATTTATGAAACTTGTTTGCATTTGTAAATTCTCGACTGACGTATGCAACTACACTTACTGTTAATTAAATCGAAAAGATGTTTTTACTTTTTCACGTAAATATGCATATATCGAAGGAGGGGAAAAGTATATTGAAATTTAATTTTTAAAGGTATTTCAAATATTTAATTACAATGTATATCAAAATACTGAGAGAAAAATATTGTTAAATTTTATTCTGTCCATCTATGAGAACAATGCTGATTAGTACACACATAATATAACCTCATTTCTTCTTCTGCTCGTCTCGTTTGTGCTTGGAAAAATACAGCTTCTCTGTGATTACATTTAGGACACGGATGTTCTTCTGTTCTTGGTAAAGTGGGATCAGATATTACGTCTGCTACGATATGTGTTAGTTCACTGAAAAAAAAAGAATTTTCAATAAAAATTGAATTGGTGAAAATATTGTAAATTTGTAATTTTTATTTACAATGACAGTAAACAAAGATCTATTGTATTAGCATTAAAGATACTTACTCAATTTCATGCATAATTTTGTTCACGTATATACAATTACTGTCAGCCAATTGCTTAAAATCACAATTTCTGCACTGAAACATGTATCAAGGATTGAAATATTTCCGAAAGCGAAATGGTATTCATCGATCATACTTACAGCATACATTAGTACTTTGTTTTCTTTGTCTTCTTTAGGATACAACATATTATTGCATTCTTGACAAAATCTGATACCAACAAAACCTGGCCCGTCATCATGCGTATCGTATCCAGTTATTTTCGACATACTTGGAATTTTACGAAAACTAATATATTTTACACCTTCTTGAGTAATATGTAAACACTTGATCAATATTCGTACTTACATTACGAGTGAGAACTATTATATGGTACATATATGGTCTGCGTTAATCCGTACAAACTTAAAACCTTGATGGGCAAATGAACGATTTTGGAACATTATTCTAGAAAAGAATCAGAATTCATGCTCGTAATTTCTATTTACCAAGTATACTCGTTACACCTGCATAGGACGTGCAAAACAATAAGGGCGACTTTGCTTGTCACGTGACTAATTTCTTATTGGTTTATTTTTTCTTGACACGAGAGGATATTTGTAATTACTGCTTGAAATGAATTCGAATACACTGCTTCGAGTGAGTAACATAACGTGTCTATTTTTCCACGTAAATTTCTTTTTTGATATTAATTCGAGTAGCACAACGATCATGAAATAGGCGGGAAAAATAGTTGTCGGCTAAAAAATGGATAGGGCTCGTCTCTTATTGAATATTTTGTTATCGCATTACGTGTTTGTCGAAAACGACGGAGTCTTTGCGACAGTATTTATCTATAAAATGAATGTTTTTTCTGTGATGGCGCTGAGAACGAAAGTTTTACTTTGTTACACCAATCCCAAAGCACGGATAAAAGTTACTAAATTGTAACATATATTCCATTGGTTGCAAATACAATCTAATACTTTACCGGAGAGTTGCTTTATTTCCTACTTACCGACGACTACTTAATTACGATTTAAATGTTCATAATTTCGATTGTTCAATAATTTGAAAAATAAAGAGACGAAATGCGATCGAGAAGGAAACTTTCGATCGCGTGATATTTCTTAAAATTCTTTTCATTGGCATTTTGTTGATTTGTCGTGACTATAAACGAACACATATGTAGAGGAGAAGAAATATTTGTGACAAACGACACGTAAAATCTGTTATTTCCGTTGAATTTTCGAACAACGTAAGTTATAAAATGACGTACCGACGGTACGCCAGTCACGTGACAGAACTCTTATTGGACCCGTGTGCGTCGATAAGGAGTGTACAAACTTATAATACGTCTGAACACGAAACAATTCTTTTTTTAAAATCGTTCAAACCGAGCACCCTATTCATTTCTTGCATCTCCATTGAATACGTTTCTTTTGAAATGAACTTAAAAGCACTTTTGTCTCTGCTGTTGTAAATATTGTCTAATACTGTCGCGTTTTTGAAAAACAGTCACGTGGTTTTGTTGTGGCTTGTTCCATTCTTAAATCGAGGAGATCGCATTTAATTTAAATTCTACGTTTTGGCGTGTTTTCATGAAACTAGGCGTACATTGAATTTCATCGAACACTTTGTAATTGGTTTGAGTATATTTTCGAAAATGTCCAGTGAAACTGTTTACCAATGAAACGAACGCAGGAAACGTTGTCGTGAACGTTACACGGTGAACAAGGTCTGCTGAAATTCTGAACAAAACGTCGAACCGTACTGTAGAAATTTCACACACGACAGAGAGATTTGTGTGAAAACCGTTGGCTATTTAGTGAAAGCTATGGGAGCCTTTTAAAAGTTTAGTCGAAACAGCGTTGACTGTAGATGCCTGAAAGAGAAAAATGTATAGAAGCAACGGATACACGTATGCGAGCGCACACTTCCATTGAATGCGCCAGGTATACGTATATAGAAGTAGGCGGATGTGTGTACTGGCAAATGCGGTAGAGAACAGTTTGATACGCGTTCGGGAGTTTAGCGTTTGTAAGAGTTTTCAGGAAAGACAAGAGGTGCGCTAGTGTTCCACTAAGCTACCCCCAGCCTTACTACCCCCACCCTTCTGTTCGAGCTCCCCTAGCTAGTGCAAATCTCGGCGGATGAATGTTTTCTTAAGGGATTCTTCCCGAAAGCGACGCGAAAATCTGAGAGGAGTCGACAAAGCTGAAAATTCGTGAGTGAAACCATTTACTCGAAAATTCCTTCTATTTTTTATTCCCAGAGTCTTGAAGTTTATAAGATTCGGATTTGTAAACTAAGAAGAAAGACTAAACTTGTGTTCAAGGCGTTCCTGGGGGGTGATGGCACTCACGCCGACAGCGTCTCCCACAAAGATTTCACCATTTTTCTATATGGAACAAAATTTTATATTTCTCCATCTACATCGTACATTTTTTGGTTAACCTGTCGGCTAGTATGCTTTGAACACGTGATTACGATAAACGCCGCGTAACTGGAGTTCATGTTTGAACTCTTTTTTTCTCAAAGAATTTACTGAAATATTATCAACGACAGATTTGTTTTGTTACATATTTCCTCTCGGATAGTGCCACGAATTTCTGTTAAAGTTCTTTTAACGCGAGTATTTCTCTTCGTAACCACTGTTGACTGCATTATATCGTTAATTTGTGTATTGCATTCGGATAGATCTTTTATATTTCATATGCACGATAAATTCTCCTCGAATTCGCGAATAAATTGTTTACTTGAAATTATTTTGATCGTGTTGTGCACAATTTGAATGGAATAATTGCACATTTCATTAATAGAATACTATATATTTCATTAACTTTTCCTACTTTCCTTTGTTAGGTTTGTTTGTGTTCATTACTTTTTTTCTGGTCATGATATATATGTATGCGCATATATCATGACCAGATATATATATATGTGTACATATATATACGTATATATACGTATATATACGTATGATTGTGATCATTATTGGGAGAATTCATACTTATTCCGAATAGAAAATAAAATGGATGGCATTCTTTATTGATACGATTCGCCAAGCTCGTACGTGGACGTGCAGAGAAGAATATATACGAGTCGCATCGGGGAACATTAGATTTAATTGTCCTAGAAGCGCGCGTAATATAAATATTTCATTGTAGGTTTTGAAGCGGAATGTTGATTGTTGTTGTGGTAATCGATACTAGTAAATGTGATGAATCTACAGTTGATAATACTAGGTGAAAAGAAACGAGGAATTACATTCTAATCGGGTCGAAATGATTTTAGTATTATTTTTGGTGATTTAGAAAAAGAAAAAGAAATACTACTTTTATCGTCGTGTAAGTCTACTTTGTAACATACGTTAACGTGAAGGTTTGAGAAAAGTTACCAAAGGAGTAACGTCTGAAATTCTATATTCAAGAGAAAACCGGCAATAGATGCGATAGGTTTTGGTGGTTTTACTTGGAATAGCTTATTTCAGCAGAATATACGGTTTTAGTACGAATAAAATATAATCGAATTGCTTATTAACATTGACAGGAAGATTATTCTAAGAAGGTACCATAATGGAGAGTGGAAGTATCTTGAATACCCCGGGTAATTATCCTGGCGGGGATCGTCAACAGTTTTGCGTTTCCTGGAATTCTCATCAATCGAATATGCATAGCGCATTCCCTAAATTGTTGAGTTCAGAGCAATTCGTCGATGTCACTTTGGCTTGCGACGGAGGCTCGATAAAATGTCACAAGGTGGTATTGTCAGCCTGTAGCGATTATTTGGAACGTTTGCTACTGGAGATACCGTGCACTCATCCCATCATCTTCTTGAGGGATATGAGAATGTGGGAACTTCAAGCTTTGGTAGAGTTCATGTATCGTGGAGAAGTGTACGTGGAGCAACAGCAGCTAGGAAAATTAATGCAGGCTGCCGAAGTATTACAGGTAATAAGTAAACGATTGCTATTATTAGCTTTACTCGTTAACGGTGAAATAAGTTGAGAAAATGTACGACGATATATTTGGTCGTAGATTCGTGGTTTGTCCACTCAAGGGAACGATAATACTTTGAGCGAAAGTGGCTCCCAGCAATGCGACTCGAATACATCCGTTGCTCCGTCTACAACCACACAGCAGGATGGGTCTAATTTCAAAGTAGAGGAAACTCAGTCCGACGACGGAGCTTCGAATGCTAATTTCCTCGAAACTCCGTCGATCGCCGCATCCAGTACGACGAGCGCAACATCGCATACTACTACTCCGGTTTCACAAAACCCAAATTCTTCAAATTTCATGAACATGGAGCACAGCGAGGCATTGCAGCATTTGGAGAAAGCGCTGAGCGCTTGCGAGGCAACTCTGACCGAAACCCAGGGGATGGTAAAGATGGAACCGGACGAACAGTTTACTCAGCAACAGGATGTAAAACCATATTCGATTAGTATGGTACCGAGCAGTAATTGTAACCCGAGCAGCCCGTTTCCTGCGATCGAAGGTGATAAACTAATACTACTTTTCTAGTTATTTCGAACAGGAACACGCGACGATACGTTTGTTCGTTCGATTTCCAGGCTACCAGAGACGACAAAGACGTTCGGAAGAAGAGTTGAAACAAGCTTCGGATATGGTGGCACGCGGTATGACGTTTCAAGTTGCTTCGGAAAAATACAAAATTCCGATAAGTACGATTCGATTCTACATGGTCAGAAAAGGTATATTGCAAAGGCGAAAACGCGGTCGCGGTTCAAGTAATCTTGGCATGAATAGTCAGCCAGGCAGTCCGGCGAGTCCGCCGTATCATATGATGAATTATCGTTTGCCAGAGAGCCTAAACTCCAGCCTACCGTAGTGCTATACGAGAAGTAGCGAGTTTTTAGACTTGAGTTGAATCGAACAAATTTTTTATTGCCGTATCGGAGCTGTTCCAGACTGTCATTCTTCCCATGCTTATCGACTCACACTGAGTTATCCGTTTTTCGCTCGATCATTCACTTGTGGCGGTGACGCGTGTCCATCGCGAATGCGCGTTTCCGCCGAATTATTCTATTCTCCATACATTTATTGCATTTACAAAAGATAGTAATTTAATAGAGAATAATTGACAATGTGTACGTATCGTACACGATAGGTACGATTTTAGTCTAGAACAGCTCGACTCCGTGTACATAAGCAGCACCATACGCGAGCTTTCGGACGCAGCATCTAGACAAAAGGAAACTAACGGAAAGCGAAGCAGAAGAAACTTGTCGCGACGTATTGCGCGCGCGCGCGGTTCTCGGGACTCGAGAGATTATGGAGGATTTCGAGGTTTTCTATCGTTCCACCGACGAAATGATTTCTCTTATCGTGTCGTTTGATTCGATCGAGTAGTTTTTCTGGGGATTTTCGTTGATTTTCTTTCCTGTCGCGGTACAAGCAAAGAGAAGAAATCTGTGTGACACCTGTCGATGCGGCGGACGAAGGCCACTCGTACGGTTCAGTTTTGGGCCGTGTTCCGTTCTTCTACTTAGTGACACATACACCTTGCGTACATGGATAGCGTAAGAGGTATTTTTTTGAGTCCTATACACAGATTGCTACAACAGGTTTACATACCACGGTTCATAGAAAAGATTGAACGCGTCACGCGAACCATATTTTTACGATCGCTCGAAAATCTTTTGATAATACGTATCCGTAGGATAGATTCTTTTTTATTACGTATTTATATACATAGCGATACACACATGCACTGACGGATACACGAGAGTGAAGCGGGCGGGACACACGACACACGACACGCAGAACAGAGACGAACGAACGGGGATGATGGTCACGGAGGAAAGGGGAAAAGGGAAACGAGAAACAGAGAAACAGAGAAACAGACGGAGCACGCAACGAGCTAGCAAGGGTCTAGGGGTGCATAAAACATATACAAGTACATGTGTAAACACGTCGGTCATATGTACCAATTCAGTTGATCTTTGACATCCAACCTGTGGATATACAGTTCATTGTTGCTAGGAGATCTACTTTTCGCTATCTTTGGTCACATCAAATAGAATATTCGTACGTTGTTCGCGCGAGGTATTGTTTCCTTTGATTTGACGCGAAATCAAACAAGACGTTAGAATAGAAGTTTACGGCTGAGAAATGCTTGTTACAATTGTCGCGAGATCGTAGGCTTTGTCCATGAACGAACTTTAGTCACTACGTTCAAGACTGGTCACACACGGCTGACTCGCAACCACGTCGAATCTTGTAATGTAAATCTGAATTTATTACACCGATATTTTTGTAGGCACCTTGTCGTGGTAGGAGTCTTCTTTCTGCCTTTATACATGTGCTCGCGTTCCAACGTATTCACCTATGTATATATGATTAATGTATAAACATTCATCCGTACGTATATACATATATGTATATGTATGAAGGCGCGCACGCACGGACACACGCGATGCACGTACACACAATCGGACACTGACACGGAATCAACACGACACGTGTACTCACGCATCATACGACACACTCGACCACACACACACACACGCACACACACACGCAAGTATGTATATATCGTCGGTGACTAGATGCTCCGTACTCGTTACCGAACAAATCTGGACTTGTCGAAAAACTTGACGACGTATAGCTGAATGCTTTTCACGCGTTAGCATGCAACTTGTAATCGAGCGTGAAAATCGAATAGAAAAGCGTTTTCAGAAAACCGAGCAAATACAGATGTTTCGATAGTTTTGTGAATCCTGGTTTTGCCTTTTCCGAAAGATTCTATACTTTTCCAAGTATATCGGAACGCGCTCACGCGCGGAAAACAAAAGACGCGCAACGCCTCGCGATCGATTCATATTTTTACTAGAAATCATGTTCCTAAATTATTACGGTAGCGATTAAGAAGGGTTGTTGGGAACATGCGTCTAGCAACAACACGAATCGTTGGGCGAGCATTCTATCGTGGGTACACTTTTGCGGCGGACAAAACGAAAACGAACACGAACACGAACACGAACACGAACACGAACACGAACACGAACACGAACACGAACACGAACACGAGAACAGGAAACAGGAAACAGGAAACAGAAAACAGAGCAGACAGGGACAGAGACAGAAACGGAGAATACAGCAACACAAATGTAACGTAACCGTACAGTGTATTGCCTTTGTTAAATAGCATTCGGATAAAGCCATATTTTTCCATGCAATGCAATAATCCAGCAAAATAAATTACCGTAATTGTGAAACAGCCTAAAATGGGGAAGAGTGCCAGATAAATAAACGAAAGAAAAGAAGGAAGAAAGGGATGAGGAGGCGACAGAGAAATGGGAAAGGAGAAGAGAGAGAGAAGAGGAGAAGGAAGAAAGGAATAATGGGCGCGATCGATGTAAAACGTTGTATAGACGATTTCCTACCATTTAGAACATATTTGCCTTTTATTCTGGCCTCGTGATAAATCCTCACTTTATTTATACTCGACAATATACTGGATACCGTGTAAAGGAACGACTAAATTAGGTTAGGCAACTTGATGAACCAATGATTTCTCGCGGTACGATGCGAGTCCTAATCTCTCCTCCTCCAGCTCGTTCGCGCGAATTTCTGGGAATCCGCAGTTTCATTTTCTACCCTGTATCGACACTCTTTCCCCGATCGGTAACGCTCTTCCTTTATTCTTTCCGCGATGATGCTAAATCCTGTTTCTTCGAAGCTCTTCCTTACTTGTCTTGCTCGATCATCGAGATCGCGAATAATGCTCTAAAGCTTGGTTGTATCGTTCGGTCGCGCGATCCGGAAGAAATAACGAGTAAGCGAGCGGCGAGGTTCTTGGCGTTTTCATCGGTGTGTACAGCATTGTTGCTTAAAAAGTTCGTATCGCGTGAATCATCGTTCAAAAAGTTCCAGTTGACAAAGGTTTTATACAGATCTATTAAAAACCAGTATTTCAAACCAATGAAGAATAATTAGTTTTCTAATAATAACAGTACATTTTACGTGAACTTAGAACAGTGCTTAAGTCAGTAATGCTCAGCGTATGTAACAAATATTTTTAGTGGAAATCCGTGTCATACTCACGTGAATTATAATGCCCTTAAAATATGTAACTAAACTAAACTAAACTAAAGTAAAGTTAAAGTTAAAGTTAAAGTTAAAGTTAAAGTTAAAGTTAAAGTAAAGTTAAAATAAAGTAAAATAAAGTAAAATAAAGTAAAATAAAGTAAACTAAAATAAAGTAAAGTAAAGTAAAGTAAAGTAAAGTAAACTAAACTAAAATAAAATAAAATAAAATAAAATAAAATAAAATAAAATAAAATAAAGTAAACTAAACTAAACTAAACTAAACTAAACTAAACTAAACTAAAATAAACTAAAATAAAATAAAATAAAGTAAAGTAAAGTAAAGTAAAGTAAAGTAAACTAAACTAAACTAAACTAAACTAAACAACAATCAAAGAAGCATGGACGACACTTGACGACTATTATTATCATAGACGTTTTCTTAGGAACGCATAGATCGTAGCCATTTTGAGGCAGTTTATGTTATATTTAATTAGGTTATCGCTTCGGACTACTCTTTTAAGGTGGTATTATTATTTGTAGATAGAATTTTGCGATTATACTTATTGCGACGATCGATCGATCACTATAATTAAGATTTCTTTTTACAGTTACCGAGATCAATGTCCTGCGAACGACAAGGAAGGCGATCGATCGGTTTTTCATTTGTCCACTGTACCGTGTGATTTATCGAATTCTTCAAATTCCCCGATGATATATTGCGAAACTGAGAGAAATTTTACTTGAACGTATTCGAACGTGCTTTCGGAATGTGCGCGCGCGCGCGTTTATAAACGGACTCTTATAAACGGTGCGAGAAGTTGGAGGGGAGGGATGGCGAGTGTTGCAGCGGCTGGAATTTTGAAAAATTTCTCCATTCAGGCAGGCTCCGTTATCGACGCAACCGACCGACCGATCGATCGATTCCTTGATCGAATCCGAACCGTGAAGAACGTTCTACAGATATTTTTTGACAAAATCACAAACCTATAAAAAGTCCAATTTTCTAAGCGTAGGTTCCTTAAGACTAATCAATCGAGCGTAACCGTTACGGCGCGTCGCGTGTACCTATAAGCCTCGTGTATACGTGTCTGTACACACGCGTGTGTACTCTCGCGTATATACGCACAGAGCCACACGGCAATAACACGGACACACATGGACAGAGACACAGAGAGACACAGAGAGACACGCACGCACGCACGCACGGCAGAGACCGCACGCGCACACGACCAAGAGACGAGGACACATCCACACACGTATGTATGTATGTATGTATGTATGTATGTATGTATGTATGTATGTATGTATGTATGTGTGTATGTATGCACGTATGTATGTATGATGTATGATGTACGATGTACGATGTACGATGTACACGATATCGCGTCGCGCAAGAGCTGTCTTTCTGTACTCGTTCGAATCGAAAGCGTAAACGAGAGATCCTTACCGAGACTTTTTTCCATTCGAACGACTTGACGGCATCGCACGATGCGATACACGCGAGATGCGCACGCACGGTCGAAACGCGTGTACGAAGACATGTCTATACGTTGCAGGTAGACGAATAAATAAGCGATTAGCGGCAAAAGATAGACAAATGATATATCGCGCGAAGCCCCGCGAAGCGAGTCGTTCGTTCCGATCGCGCATCGCGAACGCGCGTTGATCGCGATCACAGTCGCTGAGAGACAGAGCCGTATCACCGATCGAACGAGGCAAAGAAAAAGAACAATGTATCGATTTGCGTTTCTGTTTCTTTTTCTTATCCTCATTATTTTTACATTTTCATCATGATTCGAGGAAGAAGGCGGAGCGCAGACGCGGTACGAAGTAGAAATAGACGAGTGGAGCGAGAGCAGAAGAGAATAAAGGTAGTACGGGTGGAGGAGGAGGACGAACGGAAGGGAAGAAATGCAGAGAAAAGGCGC